ACAAGATACAAATATTTCAATCTAAAGTCCTCAGGACAATATCTAACGCCCCATGGTTTATACGTAATGCTGCACTGCACACGGACTTCCAGCTACCTTCTATAACTGAATATATAAAGAAATTAACAATCAACTTCTTCAACCACTTACAGTCTGCTAGCAGCGCTAAATACTACAATCTAAATGTCCCTCCTCCAATACGCCGTCTCAAGCGTGGACGTCCACATGACCTCCTACGCTAATTGTCTATTGTATTATTATTTTCTCATTTTTATTAATTCTTAATTAAATCTTAATTGTACATACCTATTACTGTTGTTAAAATATAGTTAGATCTAAGCTCATAAAACATTGTTAAATTCTAATTTATCAATTCTTACTGATTATGTAATTTTTTTTTATGTTAACCTTTTTCAAAATGTCAAATTTATATTCTTTTCGCCCTAAGTTAGATGACCTATTGTCAGGAAAACTTTAAAAAAAAAAAATAAAAAAAAAAAAAAGATTAAATATATAAAAATAAAAATATATAATATATAAAGTATTTTTATTTCCTAATAAATAAATGGTACCCCGTCGATCTAGGACAAATCGCCGTCGCCGTTTCGCCGTCGCCGTTTTGCCGTCGCCATTTCGCCGTATAACTATTTCGCGTCGCTATTTCGACATAGGGACATTTCGCCGTTAAAAAAAAAAATAATAAATAATATTGAAAATATATCGTCATGTAGATTAAACAGATTATTTTTTGGGTAATTATCAAAATATTATTATTAATTATAATATAATTATTTATTAGTATATTTTATTGATCTACCGTAAAAATATAAAATATATATTTAAATATAAATTAGTCGATTTATTCAGTTAGATTTTATATAAATAGTAGGTGTATAATATTATATAGCATCAATGTGCCCACTGCCCATGTATTATATTTATATAGTAAATAATGATTTCAGTATGATATCAATCATACATTTTTATCGCAATTGACGATAAACGCAGATGCATAGTATAGATAAAACGTATCATCGAATAATAATAACGGTATTTCTTGCCCTAAGATGTAATAAGATGTAGAAGACGTGTAATATAAATTATAATAATTTAAATATAATATTATTTAGTCAAAATGTTTTTATTATTTATTATAATTTATTTCAGTGACAAATTTATTGCGATACCTCTCAAAAATGAAATGTAATTATATGAATTATAATTACTTACAATTTTTTTAACCTTTTATCGACGTCTAAATATTTTTTCAATTTTTTTGGTGGACTTTTCCCCGCTTCCAACTGAGAATAATATGTATCACGACCAGATTGGATTTTATGAAGACTTAAAATAAACGACCACAGTGTTAGATGGCTAACACCCATTTCAGTATTTAATCTAAAAAATTATTAATAAATATGCGTTTGTATTTTATTTAGATTTTTTTACTTTCGGTTGGCGGCTTCGGCATAATTATTAGTACGATCCTGATCATTGATTACTCGATCATGTACATTCCACAAAATCGGAGGAAATAGTGCTGGTCTACGTCCACTTTTCGATCTATTTTTACGGCCAATATAGTTATCTTCAAACCAATCTAAAAGATCTTGTAACTCGTCTGGTAAATATTCAGCTAGTTCATCTACTACTTTATCAATATCGTCAATTTTTACAAAAGCTATTGCTGTTATAATTTTAACAGAAAGAGCAAAATCAGCATTATTATTGTAATTTGTCATTAAACCTAAACTGCATAACTTCAATCGGATATTTTTCGTTAAGTGATACAGACATCCATTGATTTGAGCATTAATAAAAATATCTTTTAACGATGATATAGCTGCCTTTTCAAAATCACATGATATAAAATCGGGACACAAATTGGATTTTAATTGTTTTAATCTATTAAAAAGTCGATGATACGGTTTTGCCTGTTTATTTGGTAAGAGTGCATAAATAAGTGGATGTACACCTCCAATATCTTTCGCCAATATAACATATACTTGTGCAAAAAGAGGGGGCGCAATCTTAAATGTTCCGTCACAAAACCATACTTTTGATCGTTCTAAAATATTTAAACTACTTGATCTACCAAATATTAAAATTCGATCTGGTCCAGGTCCACTATCGTCGAGTAAAAATTTTTCAGTAACACCTTGAGAAGATGAAAACATAGAATACGTTTCTGGGATTATTAGTGAAATTAAATCAGTAGGTGCAGGTGGGGCTGTTACAATTTGTTGGCGTATTCGTCGAATTTTTTT